TGTGTTGTACATACCTCATGAAGTTAACTGTAGTACGTCCACTGTCTGTGTTGTACATACCTCATGAAGTTAACTATAGTACGTCCACTGTCTGTGTTGTACATACCTCATGAGGTTAACTGTAGTACGTCCACTGTCTGTGTTGTACATACCTCATGAGGTTAACTGTAGTACGTCCACTGTCTGTGTTGTACATACCTCATGAGGTTAACTGTAGTACGTCCACTGTCTGTGTTGTACATACCTCATGAAGTTAACTGTAGTACGTCCACTGTCTGTGTTGTACATACCTCATGAGGTTAACTGTAGTACGTCCACTGTCTGTGTTGTACATACCTCATGAGGTTAACTGTAGTACGTCCACTGTCTGTGTTGTACATACCTCATGAGGTTAACTGTAGTACGTCCACTGTCTGTGTTGTACATACCTCATGGGTTAACTGTAGTACGTCCACTGTCTGTGTTGTACATACCTCATGAAGTTAACTGTAGTACGTCCACTGTCTGTGTTGTACATACCTCATGAAGTTAACTGTAGTACGTCCACTGTGTGTGTTGTACATACCTCATGAAGTTAACTATAGTACGTCCACTGTGTGTGTTGTACATACCTCATGAGGTTAACTGTAGTACGTCCACTCTGTGTGTGTTGTACATACCTCATGAAGTTAACTGTAGTACGTCCACTGTGTGTGTTGTACATACCTCATGAAGTTAACTGTAGTACGTCCACCTGTGTGTGTTGTACATACCTCATGAAGTTAACTATAGTACGTCCACTGTCTGTGTTGTACATACCTCATAAAGTTAACTATAGTACGTCCACTGTCTGTGTTGTATATACCTCATGAGGTTAACTGTAGTACGTCCACTGTCTGTGTTGTACATACCTCATGAAGTTAGCTGTAGTACGTCCACTGTCTGTGTTGTATATACCTCATGGGGTTAACTGTAGTACGTCCACTATGTGTGTTGTACATACCTCATGAAGTTAGCTATAGTACGTCCACTATGTGTGTTGTACATACCTCATGAAGTTAACTGTAGTACGTCCACTATGTGTGTTGTACATACCTCATGAAGTTAACTATAGTACGTCCACTATGTGTGTTGTACATACCTCATGAAGTTAACTGTAGTACGTCCACTGTGTGTGTTGTACATACCTCATGAAGTTAACTATAGTACGTCCACTGTCTGTGTTGTACATACCTCATGAAGTTAACTATAGTACGTCCACTGTCTGTGTTGTACATGCCTCATGGAGTTAACCTCATGAAGTTAACTATAGTAAGTCCACTGTCTGTGTTGTGTATACCTCATGAAGTTAACTATAGTGCGTCCACTGTCTGTGTTGTACATACCTCATGAAGTTAACTATAGTACGTCAACTGTCTGTGTTGTACATACCTCATGAAGTTAACTATAGTACGTCCACTGTCTGTGTTGTACATACCTCATGAGGTTAACTGTAGTACGTCCACTGTCTGTGTTGTACATACCTCATGAGGTTAACTGTAGTACGTCCACTGTCTGTGTTGTACATATACCCTCATGAAGTTAACTATAGTACGTCCACTGTCTGTGTTGTACATACCTCATGAGGTTAACTGTAGTACGTCCACTGTCTGTGTTGTACATACCTCATGAGGTTAACTGTAGTACGTCCACTGTCAATGCTGTACATACCTCATGAGGTTAACTGTAGTACGTCCACTGTCTGTGTTGTATATACCTCATGAGGTTAACTGTAGTACGTCCACTGTCTGTGTTGTACATACCTCATGAGGTTAACTATAGTACGTCCACTATGTGTGTTGTACATACCTCATGAGGTTAACTGTAGTACGTCAACTGTCTGTGTTGTACATACCTCATGAGGTTAACTGTAGTACGTCCACTGTCTATGCTGTACATACCTCATGAGGTTAACTGTAGTACGTCCACTGTCTGTGTTGTATATACCTCATGAGGTTAACTGTAGTACGTCCACTGTCTGTGTTGTACATACCTCATGAGGTTAACTATAGTACGTCCACTATGTGTGTTGTACATACCTCATGAGGTTAACTATAGTACGTCCACTATGTGTGTTGTATATACCTCATGAGGTTAACTGTAGTACGTCCACTGTCTATGTTGTACATACCTCATGAGGTTAACTGTAGTACATCCACTGTCTGTGTTGTACATACCTCATGAACTTAACTATAGTACGTCCACTGTCTGTGTTGTACATACCTCATGAAGTTAACTGTAGTACGTCCACTGTCTCTGTTGTACATACCTCATGAGGTTAACTATAGTACGTCCACTGTCTGTGTTGTACATACCTCATGAGGTTAACTGTAGTACGTCCACTGTCTATGTTGTACATACCTCATGAGGTTAACTGTAGTACGTCCACTGTCTGTGTTGTATATACCTCATCAGGTTAACTATAGTACGTCCACTGTCTGTGTTGTATATACCTCATGAAGTTAACTGTAGTACGTCCACTGTCTGTGTTGTACATACCTCATGAGGTTAACTGTAGTACGTCAACTGTCTGTGTTGTACATACCTCATGAGGTTAACTGTAGTACGTCCACTGTCTGTTTTGTACATACCTCATGAAGTTAACTATAGTACGTCCACTGTCTATGTTGTACATACCTCATGAAGTTAACTGTAGTACGTCCACTGTCTGTGTTGTACATACCTCATGAAGTTAACTATAGTACGTCCACTGTCTGTGTTGTACAAACCTCATGAAGTTAACTGTGGTACGTCCACTATGTGTGTTGTACATACCTCATGAAGTTAACTGTAGTACGTCCACTATGTGTGTTGTACATACCTCATCAAGTTAACTATAGTACGTCCACTGTCTATGTTGTACGTACCTCATGAGGTTAACTGTAGTACGTCCACTGTCTGTGTTGTACATACCTCATGAAGTTAGCTATAGTACGTCCACTGTCTGTGTTGTACATACCTCATGAAGTTAACTGTAGTACGTCCACTGTCTCTGTTGTACATACCTCATGAGGTTAACTGTAGTACGTCCACTGTCTGTGTTGTACATACCTCATGAGGTTAACTGTAGTACGTCCACTGTCTGTGTTTTATATACCTCATGAAGTTAACTGTAGTACGTCCACTGCCTGTGTTGTACATACCTCATGAGGTTAACCGTAGTACGTCCACTGTCTTTGTTGTACATACCTCATGAGGTTAACTATAGTACGTCTACTGTCTGTGTTGTACATACCTCATTTAATTAACTGTAGTACGTCAACTGTCTATGTTGTACATACTCATGAACTTAACTGTAGTACGTCCACTGTCTATGTTGTACATACCTCATGAGCTTAACTGTAGTGCGTCCACTGTCTATGTTGTGTATACCTCATGAGGTTAACTGTAGTACGTCCACTGTCTATGTTGTACATACCTCATGAGGTTTACTGTGGTACGTCCACAATGTGTTGTATATACCTCATGAGGTTAACTGTAGTACGTCCTCTGTCTATGTTGTACATACCTCATCAGGTTAACTGTGGTACGCCCACTGTCTGCGTTGTATATACCTCATGAGGTTAACTGTAGTACGTCCACTGTCTGTGTTGTATATACCTCATGAGGTTAAGTGTAGTACGTCCACTGACTATGTTGTTTATACCTCATGAGGTTAACTGTAGTACGTCCACTGTCTATGTTGTACATACCTCATGAGGTTTACTGTGGTACGTCCACTGTCTGTGTTGTATATACCTCATGAGGTTAACTGTAGTACGTCCTCTGTCTATGTTGTACATACCTCATGAGGTTAACTGTGGTACGTCCACTATCTGTGTTGTATATACCTCATGAGGTTAACTGTAGTACGTCCACTGTCTATGTTGTACATACCTCATGAGGTTAACTGTAGTACGTCCACTGTCTATGTTGTATATACCTCATGAAGTTAACTGTGGTACGTCCACTATCTTTGTTGTATATACCTCATGAGGTTAACTGTAGTACGTCCTCTGTCTATGTTGTACATACCTCATGAGGTTAACTGTGGTACGTCCACTATCTGTGTTGTATATACCTCATGGTGTTAACTGTAGTACGTCCACTGTCTGTGTTGTATATACCTCATGAGGTTTACTGTGGTACGTCCACTGTCTGTGTTGTATATACCTCATCAGGTTAACTGTAGTACGTCCACTGTCTATGTTGTACATACCTCATGAGGTTTACTGTGGTACGTCCTCTGTCTGTGTTGTATATACCTCATGAGGTTAACTGTAGTACGTCCTCTGTCTATGTTGTACATACCTCATGAGGTTAACTGTGGTACGTCCACTGTCTGTGTTGTATATACCTCATGAGGTTAACTGTAGTACGTCCACAATGTGTGTTGTATATACCTCATGGGGTTAACTATAGTACCTCCTCTATGTGTGTTGTATATACCTCATGGGGTTAACTGAAGTACGTCCACAATGTGTGTTGTATATACCTCATGGTGTTAACTGAAGAACGTTCACAATGTTTGTTGTACATACCTCATGGGGTTAACTGAAGTACGTCCGCAATTAGTGTTGTATGTACCTCATAAGGTTAACTGTAGTACGTCCACAATGTGTGTTGTATATACCTCACGGGGTTAACTGTAGTACGTCCACAATGTGTGTTGTATATACCTCATGTGGTTAACTGAAGAACGTCCACAATGTGTGTTGTGTATACCTCATGGGTTTATCTGTAGTACGTCCACAATGTGTGTTGTGTATACCTCATGGGGTTAACTGTAGTACCTCCTCTATGTGTGTTGTATATACCTCATGGGGTTAACTGTAGTACGTTCACTATGTGTGTTGTATGTACCTCATGGGGTTAACTGTAGTACGTCCACAATGTGTGTTGTATATACCTCATGGGGTTAACTGTAGTACGTCCACTATGTGTGTTGTGTATACCTCATGGGGTTAACTGTAGTACGTACTTTATCCGTATGTTGTGCCTACCTGATGGGGTCCGCTGCACTTCGTCTGCTGTTCAGGACGTGATCAGGCGCTCTGTAAGGGAAGTAACTCAGATCCATCCAGTGAAACAAACCTCTGGTTCCAATTTTTACCTCCTTGATGCTGAAGTCCATGTAGTTGATGATGTGGACAATTGGGTATGTGACGTGGTGGTCGTTGGCCCGAACACGACTCAACATTGGTTGCAGCCACTCTGATCACAAAAACAGCAATTGTCAAATCGACGCTGTAGTCACCTTTCATCAAACAGCAAAAATGAGACAAGATATATGACTGCCAAAATGATTGTATTGGTCAAAGAATGAGTGCCAAGGTTTACAATGCCCCGCCTTATTACATTGTTTCACTGCATAAAGATTACCATGTCTTTACGTTATCGTCATAAAGTTTACCATGTCTTTACATTATCGTCATAAAGATTACCATGTTTTTACGTTATCGTCACAAAATTTACCATGTCTTTACGTTATCGTCATAAAGATTACCATGTCTTTACGTTATCGTCATAAAGATTACCATGTTTTACGTTATCGTCATAAAGATTACCATGTCTTTACGTTATCGTCATAAAGATTACCATGTCTTTACGTTATCGTCATAAAGATTATCATGTCTTTACGTTATCGTCATAAAGTTTACCATGTCTTTACGTTATCGTCATAAAGATTATCATGTCTTTACGTTATCGTCATAAAGTTTACCATGTCTTTACGTTATCGTCATAAAGATTACCATGTCTTTACGTTATCGTCATAAAGATTACCATGTCTTTACGTTATCGTCATAAAGATTATCATGTCTTTACGTTATCGTCATAAAGTTTACCATGTCTTTACGTTATCGTCATAAAGATTACCATGTCTTTACATTATCGTCGTAAAGATTACAATGTCTTTACGTTATCGTCATAAAAGGTTTACATTTATAATGTAATTGAAGTGATTTTTTTCAGGTAACGTTATAGAAAGTTCTATATCTCCCGGGATATCCGTAACTTTCGCCTGCTCCATTACACGTCAATGCCTTCCATACAAAACGCAGCACGTAGATATCTTTCATATACTGTACTACATGTCTCAACCCTATTACCTGTACCCACCTGTCATAAGCTCCACATGTCACATACTGTAGTGCATGTCCTTAACAATTACACATTCTACTACATGCCCTAACTCACCACTACACGTCCCTACCTTTCATACTCTCCACTACACGTCCCTACCTTTCATACTCTCCACTACACGTCCCTACCTTTCATACTCTCCACTACACGTCCCTACCTTTCATACTCTCCACTACACGTCCCTACCTTTCATACTCTCCACTACACGTCCCTACCTTTCATACTCTCTACTACACGTCCTTACCTTTCATACTCTCCACTACATGTCCCTACCTTTCATACAACTCTCTACTACATGTCCCTACCTTTCATACTCTCTACTACATGTCCCTACCTTTCATACTCTCCACTACACGTCCCTACCTTTCACACTCTCTACTACATGTCCCTACCTTTCATACTCTCTACTACATGTCCCCACCTTTCATACTCTCCACTACACGTACGTCCCTATCTTTCATACTCTCTATTACACGTCCCTACCTTTCATACTCTCCACTACACGTCCCTACCTTTCATACTCTCCACTACACGTCCCTACCTTTCATACTCTCTATTACACGTCCCTACCTTTCATGCTCTCCACTACACGCCCCTACCTTTCATACTCTCTACTACACGTCTATATCTTTCATACTCTCTACAACATGTCCTTACCTCCCATGCACACCGCCACATGTCCTTCCTTACCTTTCATACACTCCACGTGCGAGTCGAGGAAGGTGAGGACGGGGGCAGTAGCTGTGGCCACGCCCAGTAGTCGGGCTCCTATCAAGCCCACTCTGGAGGAAGCCCTCACTAGCTTCACCTTGGGCAGTGGGCGGAGGTATTCCGCCAGCGAGGTTCCAAGTGACGCTGGGGCGAAGAAAAGAGGGCGATTCATCATACTAGCCTTCCCTTCCATTCCATCCATAATCATATAGGAAGAGACATAATTTATATTTGATGACACTTGAAGCACAATGAATACATCCGTAATTATTGGAATCAGTTATGCTTAATGTCAGAATAGGTCCTGTGTAACCTATGCTAGTAGTTAGAACCGAGTAACTGGACGACTGGTCATGTGTTGACAGCGTATCACCGTACCCAGAGTGAGTGAGTGAGTTTTGTTTTACGCCGCACTCAGCAATATTCCAGCTATATGGCGGCGGTCTGTAAATAATCGAGTGTGGACCAGACAATCCAGTGATCAACAGCATGAGCATCGATCTGTGCAATTGGGAACCGATGACATGTGTCAACCAAGTCAGCGAGCCTGACCACCCGATCCCATTAGTCGCCTCTTACGACAAGGATGGGTTCTAACCCGGACCTTCACTGGTCCATAGCATCCAGACGAGGGTGGTCGTTGCTCACAGTGTCACACACTGTCTGGTCCAGACTCGACTCTTTCCAGGCCGTCTAATACCTGGAATATTGCTGACTGTGTTAACCACTGACAAACAAACATCTGTGACTGGAGTCATTGTATGGGCAACAGCTCACGTTCATCAGAGGCGTCGTCCACTAGGATGACTTCGTGCAGGAGATGTTGTGGTGTGTTGTCGAGGACGCTGAACACCGTCCTGATGAGAGTGGACCAAGCCTCGTTGTGGAAACAGATGATGATGCTGGTGGCAGGCAGGTCGTCTGGGTACACCATCCCCCGGCACCTAGGGGGGAGCAGCTGTTGCAGTAATATCATCACACGTGAGTCCTTCTTCAGTAGGAATACAAATAGGGGTTGTCGACTTATCAATGAATGTGAGACCCATCGGGTGCTGGTATCACTTTGGTGTAAATCATATGGCGTTGAACAAATATTATATAATCAGGAGACAGTCTAAGTAAACTTAGGCTCAGTATTATTCGTTACACTGCTATACAGTATAGCAGTGTAACGAAAAATACTGAGCCTGAGTTTACTTAGACTGAATCAGGAGACTTTTAGAGGCGGTTCTTAGCACGACCCTGGAAGACAACTCTGAACATTGTATATCTGGGCCTTAGGCGACTAAAGTGACCAGGATACCGCCAGGGACACAACTTATTTTTACAAAGGGTCGCACAGCTGCTTCAAAGTACATGATCGCACCTGTTCCCTCCTAACAACGTGGTTATTCATTACAGGGAGGAGGAGATGAAACATGTAACACAAAATAGGCACAAACAACAAGCTTGTAACTTGATATTGTCTCTTGTCACTTGTCTCAAGCAAACTAGGATACAGTCTTAACAACCTCACACCCATCCACCACCCCATGTGACCGGTCCCGTATATTGGGCTCCTATCACCCAGGGGCGACCACGTACATGCTCGGCCGGAAGTCCGGTGTTCGACGCCGGAGGGAGATCATATCGCTGACGTATTCATTGAAACCATGCTTCTCATATCCTTCCGCCATCATGGCCCTTTGTCCATCACTGAGCGCGTCAGAGTTGATGGCTACCGCTCTACCAAGTTCTCCTGAAGGCAAATGTACAAAGTTGAACTCCACAATTGTTTTCGCTCTAATTGATTGGACCCGTGAAAGTCCGGGTTAGAATTGAACTTCAGCAACCCATGCTTGTCGTAAAAGGCGACTTACGGGATCGGGTGGTCAGGCTCGCTGACTTGGTTGACACATGCCATCGGTTCCCAATTGCACAGATTGATGCTCATGCTGTTGAACACTGGATTGTCTGGTCCAGACTCGATTATTTACAGACCGCCGCCATGTAGTTGGAATATTGCTGAGTGCGGCGTAAATCTAAACTCACTCACTCTAATTGATTAGGCATTTCTATCACCCGTACCTCAACCTGGAGCGCCTAGAACATTTATTATCAATTCAACGTATCAAATATTTCAAAATATTAAATTCAAATAACGTTTTGATCTGAAATTCTGGCCCTTTGTCACTGACATAGTCTTACCGGGGGCGTCAGTCGGTCGTAGTGGCTCCAACCCGTCCAGCTTGTCCTTTACAACTGCTTCTTCTGCCGCTTCAATGTTACTCAGTTTTGCCGATATGGCCCGAAATGGGGTATCTGATGCAGTGTATTGTACATGGTTGTAGAATTCAGTATTTGGATAATGTTCACTGACTATGACAACTTGTATCAATACAAGGAAGCTCAGAGCGGACATACAGTACAACACCTTGAAGTAGAAGGTGCACATCCGGGTCATCTTGTTGGCGGTGAGGAGATGTACGTCGGCTGGTATAGTCACAGGTCAACAGGTATTGCTACAGGTTTGTTTCTGTACAGTCACTGTGGTAACATGAAAATACCTACTATATTCGAGTAAAGTGTTGGTTTGCGCCTTATACGCTGCACCTACACAGTTATGCATAGTCACCAATCGCGGCATTACAATTTGTACAGCACTCCACGCAATTATCTCCCGATCCCTTAAACTACAGGGGTTCGAATCACTGTTTGGACAATAATTTTAAAAAATAAAAAGCTAGATTTTTGCAACCGTATATTGTTAACATAAAACACATGTAATGAGTGTAGCGGGAAAATGTTCTAAAAAGATTGGAAAGATCAGTTACTCATAACATATAAAAACAATATACGGGTTGCAAAAATCTAGATTTTTATTTTTAAAAATTATTGTCCAAACAGTGATTCGAACCCCTGTGCCTTAAACGTTATAACGTCGTGATTGTAATAGATTCCCTTCCATCAAGACAGATCGCTTGCTGTCACCTTTCTGGGGATTGTTGAGACTCATTCTTTTCTCGATCTGCCAACGCGAATTCACCTTTCATACATTCAACTACATGACCGTTCCTGTCATACTCTCTTTTACACGTCCCTACCTTTCATACTCTCTATTACACGTCCCTACCTTTCATACTCTCTATTAAACGTCCCTTCCTGTCATACTCTCTATTACACGTCCCTACCTTTCATACTCTCTATTACACGTCCCTACCTTTCATACTCTCTATTACACGTCCCTACCTTTCATACTCTCTATTACACGTCCCTTCCTGTCATACTCTCTATTACACGTCCCTTCCTGTCATACTCTCTATTACACGTCCCTTCCTGTCATACTCTCTATTACACGTCCCTTCCTGTCATACTCTCTATTACACGTCCCTACCTTTCATACTCTCTATTACACGTCCCTACCTTTCATACTCTCTATTACACGTCCCTACCTTTCATACTCTCTATTACACGTCCCTTCCTGTCATACTCTCTATTACACGTCCCTTCCTGTCATACTCTCCACTACACGTCCCTATCTTTCATACTCTCTATTACACGTCACTTCCTGTCATACTCTCTATTACACGTCCCTACCTTTCATACTCTCTATTACACGTCCCTTCCTGTCATACTCTCTATTACACGTCCCTTCCTGTCATACTCTCTATTACACGTCCCTTCCTGTCATACTCTCTATTACACGTCCCTTCCTGTCATACTCTCTATTACACGTCCCTTCCTGTCATACTCTCTATTACACGTCCCTTCCTGTCATACTCTCTATTTCACGTCCCTTCCTGTCATACTCTCTATTACACGTCCCTTCCTGTCATACTCTCTATTACACGTCCCTTCCTGTCATACTCTATTACACGTCCCTTCCTGTCATACTCTCTATTTCACGCCCCTTCCTGTCATACTCTCTATTACACGTCCCTTCCTGTCATACTCTCTATTACACGTCCCTTCCTGTCATACTCTCTATTACACGTCCCTTCCTGTCATACTCTCTATTACACGTCCCTTCCTGTCATACTCTCTATTACACGTCCCTACCTTTCATACTCTCTATTACACGTCCCTACCTTTCATACTCTCTATTACACGTCCCTTCCTTTCATACTCTCTATTACACGTCCCTACCTTTCATACTCTCTATTACACGTCCCTACCTTTCATACTCTCTATTACACGTCCCTACCTTTCATACTCTCTATTACACGTCCCTTCCTTTCATACTCTCTATTACACGTCCCTACCTTTCATATTCTCTATTACACGTCCCTACCTTTCATACTCTCTATTACATGTCCCTACCTTTCATACACCCTACTTCATGTCCCTACCTTTCATACAACTCTCTACTACATGTCCCTACCTTTCATACACCCTACTACATGTCCCTACATTTCATACACTCTACTGCATGTCCCTACTTTTATATTCTCTACTGCATGTCCTAACTTTTATACACTCGACCAGATATCCTTACCTTTCATACGGACCCGTGAAGATCCGGGGTAGAATAGGTCTTCAGCAACCCATGTGCTTGCCATAAAAAGGCGACTATCTTGTCTTAAGAGGCAACTAACGGGATCGGGTGGTCAGTTTCGCTGACTTGGTTGACACATGTCATCGGTTCCCAATTGCGCAGATCGATGCTCATGCTGTTGATCACTGGATTGTCTGGTCCAGACTCGATTATTTACAGACCGCCGCCATATAGCTGGAATATTGCAGAGTGCGGCGTAAAACTAAACTCACTCACTCACTCACCTTTCATACGCTCTACTATATACCCCTACCTTTCATATAATCCACAGTATGCGTATCTTTGCAGTGCCCATGCCGCTTACATATCCACCTGAACATACACAACCGTCCTAATAAACTTGACTAACTCTGTGTTTCAGAAAACACGGAAACAGCTGGTCAGTACACCGTGCTGACATGGACGTAATCTCGTAATCCTCGACTACATCTCCAGGTAGCGAAGAAAACGTGACTTTAGTGGGATAATAAACTTCCTCCGTTTGACGCCTGAATTTTATACTTCCCCGTGATGAGATCAGATTTTATTCCTACAAATGAGGTCAGGTATTATTTTAACAAGAGAGATCAGGTTTTTCTCCCATGTGTACTTTGCTGTAAACGTGCACAACACCATCAACGCCATGGCTTTCCACAGTGTACCTGTTTACATGCTGACGTTGATTGTAGGCAGCTTATGGCCGTGGTTTGTTGAGTTACAAATGTTTATTTGGTTGGTGCCAGGACATATTCCGAGGCGTAAGTGTTCACTTTAACGTATTCAGTGAGCGGTAACATCACAGCATGTGCTAACAGTGGTATCAGTAGTATGACGGTTCATACTGTGATTAAATGTGTTCATGGTTTATGAGACGTTTCTTTGCCGGTTTGTGGTTATATAGAGAATACTAAATGATGTCCAGTGCAATACCATATTTATGAAACGTGTGAATGGTTTGGTATGTAACGAGCGAAAGCTCAGAAAGATCAGAAGCTTCATTCACGGTGTGGAACTTAGTGCACTGACTGTTTACAAGAAGGTATACACACGATCATCTTTGTGTGCTCACGGCTTTTTGTGCAAAATCAGAATTAGACTCTTTAATATAATAATGGATTATAAGTTATGTATACTATGCAAAAAAACAGAAGCGTTATTTGTGCCGGTAGAATAAAATACGCCCAAAAGAGCGGGGACAGATGAACGTACAATATTGAATTGTCAAGTATCGCCATGCAACGTTACAAGACTATCAGACGCCTGGGTCAACGCATGACGTGGAATGATGCGGTCGACCACGTGCAACAACTGCAGGACAGGTTCTAGACTAATGCTTAGTCTCTGAATATATATAATATTGATAGTAACAAACAAGCCCATTTAAATTGAAAATTCAGAGGAAATCTAGACTTGCTTTATTTTAGGCTTTAGCACTGCAGAGAGGGCTTGGCATTAGGGAAAATAATGTGGTTCAGGGACTGTGAGGCAGACTAGGCAAGTTCATATGGGTACATAACTGGCGTTACTCGCCACAGCCAAGTGTTCAGCTACAGCAATACCTGGATTGCGAAGGCATTTGTCCGAGACGATTAGTTAGAGGTGTCATTCTGATATATCAGCACAGTCGGCTGCGACGGCACAGCGTTACACAGATGAAATTCCTTCGCATTATGCAAAAGTCAGTTTTACATTTTTCAACACGACAACGTCCGACCTGGCAACGGGCCTTTTGAGGAACCACAACATCCAATTACAGTCGCCATGGAACTCAAAGTCTCCAGATCTAAACCCGATCTGTGATCAAGTCAGCAACAACCACAGAACATCCAACAGTTGGCACAAGCACTGCAGGAGTGAGTGAGCGAGTACGGTTTTACGCCGCTTTTAGCAATATTCCAGCAATATTACGGCGGGGGACACCAGAAATGGGTTTCACACATTTTACCCATGTAGGGAATCGAACCCGGGCCTTCGGCGTGACGAGCGAACGCTTTACCACCAGGCTACCCCACGCCCGAAGCACTGCAGGAAGAGTGGTGAACATTCCTCTGGACACAATTCATAATCTGATTACTACCATGAGACGACGATGCAAGGCAGTGGAGGACTCTTATGGGGGCCATACAAGATATTGAAAATAGATGACCTTCACCTTGACATTCGATTGTTTCATAATTCGAATATTATGATATTTTGCTTATTAATATAATGCATAAAATCTACCATCAAAAAATCTCCTTTACGTTCCTTTTCTTTTTTTTTTCATTGTCCGTCACTTTCACCATGTCCCCTCATCCCACGGCAACATTACCATCCCAATTCACAACAGCAAACTTCTGGAAACTGTGCTCGATCTTTTTATTTTACTTGAACTTGGTTAAGATTTACTGATGTCGATTATATTTTACATTTGCACGATTTTATAATTGAGTATATTCTTTGGCCCGCTATGTCATTTTTGAATGTGTGATGAATTAATTGGAAGCGTAGTAACAAACACATTATATGGTTTTGGACATTTTGATTTGTGGCTCTGTCCTTGTAACAAGACCCGTTGATCTGGATTTACTTAATTTAAGTACTGGATATGCGTATGGATTTACTTGATTTACTGGGATGCGTATAGATTTACTTGATTTACTGGGATGCGTTTAGGATTTACTTAATTCACTGGGATGCGTATGGATTTACTTGATTTACTGGGATGCGTATGGATTTACTTGATTTACTGGGATGCGTTTAGGAACTATTCATTAGTGTCATCTTATTTTGATCATCTTAGGAATTTTCATGACATTTTTTCAGTTTATCACTCCTCAGAGTTATGAATACCACCACAGTAAATTCACGTTTTATACCAAAATACGATCAGATGACTAGAAACTGTGCCAAGGAATCGCTGAAGAAATTGCTGGCTGAGGCATGACTGATATGTCTGTGCCTCCATGTCTCCCGTGGACGTCACACAACCGTCAGTTGTACAAGATGGTCGTGTGGAAGATTCTTGTGTCTTTCATTTAACAACACAGACAGTTTGAACATGTTTCTGTATTAAAACATTTTTATTCTTAATTTTACTAAGTAATACTACACTACACAACAAGACATTCAAAAACAACGGCAACATTTTCACAATACACACGATCCAGTGAACTTGTGTGGTTCATACTAACTCTAGTGTGCAAATATATCAGTATCACTTAACAAACAGCCAATATGAAACCCTAGTTCATTGTATGGCCCTTCTTCAGATAAGAAGGATCACTCCGTCTGGAAACACCCACACCGTCGCCATCATGTTCAGCTAGCGTTTATGTAGATGACACCGTTCTATAGATGCTGCAGTTATATAGAGTGTTAAACATTCACTGGGTTACATATTAGACAACTGACAACAATAAATACTTCAGTCCGTCTGTCAGTTGACTTGAACATCCGAACATGTGGGTTTGGGGTTGGGAATTAATTCTTAGGTTTCAAAGAAAGCGAATGTCATATCGGTTCGTAAAATGCTCTGATATTCTGTAATTCAGTAAAGGTAAATTTAGCGACAGATTAACATTTTTCATGATGTATGATTTTAGCCATTGGCTGTAACAGGCTGTAACAGGCTGTGAGAGCCTAAGGCGCTTTGGGGTGTGGAGTGAGATTGTATGAGGGTTGCTGGATCTGCCACTTCTGGGTCGGGACTCCGGTACACTGGCTCAGAACCAGGGCCTGGCCAGGGATCAGCTCTATACACTTCTTGTGTAAAGTGTTCATTAATGTATTTTCCTGCAATAAGATCACGTTCACATTAGGTTTCACATTCATGAATGATGAACTCATCATGGGAGATCTGTTAGACACGTTAAGGCAAGGACGGGGACGGACCTGCAGTCGACGACAATGTGGTGGCTTATTTCACATAAACTTATACAGTTGTAGAAATCTTACTTTATATATTGAAGGTAATGTTTTTCAATATGTATCAATCATGTCGTAAGATGAAATCAACAGTGTTGTTTTCAAAAATGATTCTTAATTATCACAGACGGAAATGTGACTTTATCAATGATGACCCACTGAAACAGAGAGGTTTCACTAATATGTGCGCATCTTGATAGAGATACAAATAAACTCAGATCTCAGCGTTATGACATATAAGGCGTTTTCAGGCATACTAGTATTTCCCCACAAAGGGGAGACAAATTACTTCACAGAATGAAGAGTCACTCATGCTGATACAGCAGAACAGTTTCATTTATCCGATAACCAAATTTGGCTGGGTATATAAGTACATCAGACCCTGGTGCAATTTGATGTTTTTACAGTCCTGGCAAGGAGGAACTGGTCGACGAGTGAAACGGTATCTTCATAACATTGTTTGGAATCGCAACATATATCGTTCACATGGACATGTTAAATGATATAAATGACCTTTATCTTCAACTATTTCCGTTACAGAATGTTAAGGCACATGTCGTAGGCACATGTCGTAGGCACTTTGACGGGGTATGGGTTTTATCGGGAAATATAGACATGTTTGTATATTCTCTGAGTTAAGTTAAAGTTGTGTTATCTAAATCGAAATCACAGTGTTGACAATATACATGAAATATCAGCAGCTTATTATCATGACCATCAGCACAGCCATGTACAGATCAGCTGCCTGCTGTAATTAACCCTAATGAACCTTAGAGTATGGCCGGTTGGCCACGGAAGTGTAACATTGTGGATGAGGTGCTGGACACTGCAGGTTGACCATACATGTATCGTAATACGATACAGGGCAACCTGACAGTCAGTAGTATAGAGACAATGAATTCTTAATGTAACGGGACTTGACCCTCGGACAGCGGCTAGGCAGGTGGGCTGACGATCGCCTCTGTGATGCTGCCTGGCCGTTGCTGCACTATCACTATCATGTACGAACACAAACAACAATGAAAGACTTTTTGCTATGACTATAGATTATTGTGTGCTTGCTATTCATTGTTTTATAAGCTTTACATTAAATGCTTATTTGTTTTATCCAGATTCGTTTCGTTTTTGTAATAGTAAGGGAAGCAACTCTTGCTTGAACTTGGGTCTTGATTCAGTAGTCCGGACTATTCGCAATCCGGACGAATTTGCTGAGAAACGCAACCGTCCGGATTAACGAGGCTTCACTGTAATTACATACTTAGCTGCCGAATAAAGTGTTGTGGACCCACTGATGGACTTCTGTGTTTGAAGAGACAGATATCCCCCAAAACGCTTTAACCAGCCCGGGATACACACATGGTTCCATATGATAAGTCTATGTATTTGACACACTACTCTTATTCTACCCTTACCCGACACGTTTTTATCACATGAGCCCTTCAGTCAACCCTGCCGTTAATACAAGTTGGGGGGTGAATGTGTCAGTTTCCAGATTTCTAATACCAGAAAAAGTGATTAACACTTTTAATGATCCATATTATTGATAAGAACATTACGTGCGAAAACAATATATTTGAAAACACTATTAAATAAATACATACATACACACACACACACACACACACACACACACACACACACACACACACACACACACACACACACACACATATACATATACATACATACATACATACATATATACATACAGACATACACATACATATACATATACATACATACATTAAATACATACATACATACATACATACATACATTTTTAATGTACTAATATTGAATCATTTTCGAAAGTACTTACATACGATTTATCCACGTCCCATTATCATACAGTGAAGGATGGGATATGTGATTTTACTCAAAAGTTTAGTTTGTATAGGGGAATATGATTTGGCTTTGTTTATACATCATCTCTAAATACTTGGCACTATACCTAGTGTTGGCCTGTGGTGTCCTAAGTATAGAGAATAAACAGTTAATATCTGATACAATGTGCAGGCTGAATACTCGATCCTAACTGGTAAACCAGGGCACGCTTTCAAACATAATGCAGTGGACGACTAAATTTAAGTTTGTTGGGATAACGAGGAGACAAAAACGAACTGGACATCTGAGTACGCACGTGTGTGTAGGTCCACTGCCCGCGTGGTTTGATGGCGTCGCACCTTTCTGACATAACCAGTTGAGATGAGTTGACCGCGAGGCACATCCACGGCTTCTCCCGCCACAGAACGCCAGCCAACAGCTGACCGTTCTCTAAATACCAAACAATCTGAAAGACAAGCATTACAGCAGTGAGTTTAAACAATGATACTTTGATACAATGATAAAGGTGCAATCTTTGAATTCAGAATTCCGGGACAGTTTTACGTCGTCACAATGCTAAAGTTATTTGATGCTAACGTATTTTACGTTGTCTTAACGTTCTGTTTTACGTTGTCTTAACGTTCTGTTTTACGTTGTCTTAACGTTCTGTTTTACGTTGTCTTAACGTTCTGTTTTACGATGTCTTAACGTTCTGTTTTACGATTTCTTAACGTTCTCCTTAACATTAATAGTTGAACAGATTTCCCAGTAGTTAACAGTACATAGGAAACAAAGCAGAAATTCATGTTTATTCATCAATGTGCATGTAGTTTTGGTGGTGTTTTCTGAAGCTGTAGCTGAATAGTGAAGACAGAATCTTAGTGAAACGTTTTACAGAGAACTCTATCGTTATTGTGTAATAGTCGATACAGAACGTTTTGACAACGTATATATTATGTAACGTTGCTGTAACGTTGTGTGCTTTGTGTTCTAATGTGTTGGTGACCCGTGAAGATCCGTGGTAGAATAGGTCTTCAGCGAAAGGCGACTATACTTGTCGTAAGAGGCGACTAACGGGATCGGAAGGTCAGGCTCGCTGACTTGGTTGACACATGTCATCGGTTCCCAATTGCGCAAATCGATGCTCATGCTGTTGATCACTGGATTGTCTGGTCCAGACTCGATTATTTACAGACCGCCGCCATATAGCTGGAATATTGCTGAGTGCGGCATAAAACTAAACTCACTCACTCACTCACTCACTCACTAACGTTGTGAAATAACGTTATAAAATGACGTAATACTAACAACGTTGTGTCATGATTACTAATATACAACCTTCCCACAACGTTGCGAAAACGTTGTGAGTTAGATAGGTGAGCAGTTGCTGTGTTTGTGACTGACCTGCTGCTGGATGTATTTGTCGCAGGGCCCGCACCACACCTTGGGGTAGTAGATAGAGTGAGCCAGGCAGTAGTCGCTGAACTTCACGTTCACTATCTGCAACGATATCTGAATCATTCATCACACTGACGATATGTTATAAGCAAGATGTTACCAATAATCAAAATTTAAATCAAGGAACATGACAATGAATGTCATCCTTGTTCCAGTTCCTGAAGTCAATCTGTGCTTCCGGGAGGTCATTACATTGACAATGGTTCTTGGTGTATGGCCAGTTCAATGTCACATTACGTAACCCGTAAAAACGTTTGAACTCGTTATGTGAGGGATTGGCCTTGTGTAGAAAGTAAGTTTGGCATCAATTCCCACGAGCAGTTCAGAGGACCCGGGGAGAAACTGTGGAATTGGCAGTTGTTACTTGTATAGTGTCAGTTGTTATATGAAGTATGTCAGTTATTATAAGTTAAACGCGTCAGCTGGCAAGTGAAGGGTGTCCGTTGTTATTTGAAAGTGCCAGTTGTCAAGTGCAATTATATTGACCAGTGTGTTGACCAGTGTGTTGACCAGTGTGTTGACCAGTTTGTAGAGGAGAGATCCTACTATACGTCACCTTGCTGATTGCGACTGCCGAGACAGGTGCATACAGATCGGTGGCCACTTCCTTCATATACCAATGGAAGGATTTACACTGCAACCTCTTCCGAAGTGCTACCCGTCCAGAAACGTCCCCGAACTCAGGCTGTGAGTAAAATATATTTAAATGATTTGAAACTAATACGAGAAAAACACCCGAAAAAGAGTGAAAAATATTCACTTGGACAATGGATCCTGTAACTCACCATGGTATTGTAATGGAATATAGACCTCGGAAGAAGGTGTAGAGCATTTATACAAAGTTACATTGCATGGTGGGGTAAGGTGTAGTTTATTTAGGGACAATAAGCTTGAATGAAAAATGTATTTTCACATCATACACCTCGGGGAGTTTCCAGGAGAAGTTACGGCTGTATGTTACAGTATAGAAGCTACAAAGGCGCTACACCTACACAGACGCCGTGTGGCCACTGGTACAATGTCATCAAACTGTCTCCAGTAACCCTTGCTTGTAGCAAGACAAACCGGATCCGGAAGTCACGTTTACTTTCTTTGCTGACGCATGTATCCAAATTAGGTGGATCGTTACTCATGATGTGAATCACAGGATTGTCTGGTCCAAACTCGATTATTTACATATGTGAGGCGTTAAACATAACATAAACATTAAACCTTTAAGAAGACAACTCTATCTGGTCATATATTACTGTACCAACCCTCCACGAATCTTACTCCTATACTAGTTACATAAATTTGACACGATTTCCAATGTGACACCATTGCTTAAAATATCCTGCAGTACATAACCCGTGCACAAGTAAGATATTTCTTGATGAACGTCAGTTGATATCAGTATCAGGCTGGAGCAACGATATGTGTACAGGAATTTATATCACTAGAACATCACGTTCATCATCCTACTCAGCGTGGTGTAGTGGTTAGAGCGTCCGCCCGGAGAGCGGAAGGTCGCGGGTTTGATCCCCGACCGCGCCATACCAAAAGACGTTAAGATACGGTACTTGTTGGTCCCTGCCTGGCGCTCGGCATTAATGGGTACAACAAGGACTGGTCGGCTCGGAGTCAGTATAATGTGTCTGATTGGGGTATTCATGCTTCACTGCGGCATGGTATCTCAGTGGGCTAGCACTATAATACCAGCTTAAGTCTGGGCTAGTACAAGCAGCCGCACATACACATACACACGCATGCAAGTCTTCATATGAGCGAAATATTCTCCAGCACGACGTAAAACCCAATTTCACCTCATCCACCTCCTACTCACCGTAATGTGGTTTTTGACAATGTTGTTGAAGAACAGGTATTTATACTCATCCATCCACACGAACGCCACTCTCATAGCGTTGTTCAATATGGTCTTATAGGCATCTTTCCCCAGGTTGGGATTTGTGGTCCGGAAGACGTGGGCTATGTGTGAGCAAGGGAGCAGCTCCACTGTTCCGTTACACATCCATGTCTGCAACAGAGAGTCATGCCACGTCAGGCTGTTTACAGTCGGTCTACGACCATGATAACTATTTACTAGACTACACTGTACATACCTTGAAAGATAGTTCCATGTTCTCACCGCCCCATACTTTGAGACCAGGGTCGTAGCCGCCGAGAAGATCGAAGTATCGTCTGCTGATGGTGAATATACCGCCAGGCATTGTGGGAGACCTGCGGGGACAGACGTAACATACAGGTAGTCTGCTGCTTATCAGACAAGAAACATCTAGTCGGACCATACTGGTAAAATATGCATTGTGTGAAGATAATTGGTGTCAACTCGAGATTTCTACCTAATAGAAATCTTTTTTTCTCTGGGGTGGGGTGGGGTAGCCTAGTGGTTGAAGCGTCCGCTCGTCACGCCGAAGACCCGGGTTCGATTCCCCACATGGGTACAATGTGTGACATGAGTGAGTGAGTGAGTACGGTTTTACGCGGCTTTAGCAATATTCCAGCAATATCACGGCGGGGATCACCAGAGATGGGCTTCACATATTGTACCCATGTGGAGATTCGAACCCGGGTCGTCGGCGTGACGAGCCAACGCTTTAACCACTAGGCTACCCCACCGCCCCCAATGTGTGAAATGCATTTTGGACTACCCGATGTGATATCGCTGGAACATTGCTAAAGCGGCGTAAACCTAAACTCACTCACTCTCTCACCTTTTTCTTAGGATTACTGTGGATATGTAAGAGAGTTACTATTGTCGTACGGCTGAATCACATTGAGTAAACGCTGGCTTTTTTTGTTTGTCAACCTGTCCCATGTACCGCGTTAATCAAAGGATTGACTGGATCAAACGCAGTCATCAAGTGGTGGAATATTGCCCTTTCACCGTTGCAGTGAGATACAGATACAGGCTGAGCTTGTACCGTGTTGTAGGATCGTACAGGTACCACTTACATCATCACAGCAATATTGACGTCAACTGTGGCGGACCGTTAGAACAACGGACAAGAAGAAATAGATTCAAAAACAGATGGACAGAATGAGGAAGCTGTTTAAGAAGAATAAAAAGAAAGAATGTTGACCATCATTTTAAGTGGGTGCGTCCCACCATAACTACAAAACATCCCACAATGGAGCATCCTCCAGTCCGCTGTACCTACATGATCGGCTCTGTTATCGACTTCCGCTTCCTCATCATACTTAATGTGAGCTGGCTGGGGAAGTACGTCAGGTCCACCCAGTTGAACAGGCCGTGGTAGTACACTTCTACTTGGTAGATGTTGAAGTCCTTGCTGTCGATGCCGTTGATGACGGGGTAGGTAACAGTGAATTCCTCTTCCGTAATGCGATGCAGCATTGGCTGCAGCCAGCCTACAACAGTAACGTGTTGGTCAATACAACATCTAGTTTCTGCCATTTGAAGAAGGCGGTCATAAAAAGAACTACATAAGTTTCTGTGATTTGAAGAAGGCGGTCATAAAAAGAACTACATAAGTTTCTGCCATTTGGAGAAGGCGGTCATAAGAAGAACTACATAAGTTTCTGCCATTTGGAGAAGGCGGTCATAAGAAGAACTACATAAGTTTCTGCCATTTGGAGAAGGCGGTCATAAGAAGAACTACATAAGTTTCTGCCATTTGGAGAAGGCGGTCATAAGAAGAACTACATAAGTTTCGGCCATTTGGAGAAAGCGGTCAAAAGAAGAACTACATAAGTTTCAGCCATTTGGAGAAGGCGGTCATAAGAAGAACTACATAAGTTTCTGCCATTTGGAGAAGGCGGTCATAAGAAGAACTACATAAGTTTCTGCTATTTGGAGAAGGCGGTCATAAGGAGAACTACATAAGTTTCTGCCATTTGGAGAAGGCGGTCATAAGAAGAACTACATAAGTTTCAGCCATTTGGAGAAGGCGGTCACAAGAAGAACTACATAAGTTTCAGCCATTTGGAGAAGGTGGTCATCAAAAGAACTACATAAGTTTCTGCCATTTGGAGAAGGCGGTCATAAGAAGAACTACATAAGTTTCAGCCATTTGGAGAAGGTGGTCATAAAAAGAACTACATAAGTTTCTGCCATTTGGAGAAGGCGGTCATAAGGAGAACTACATAAGTTTCTGCAATTTGGAGAAGGCGGTCATAAGAAGAACTACATAAGTTTCTGCCATTTGGAGAAGGCAGTCATAAGAAGAACTACATAAGTTCCTGCCATTTGAAGAAGGCGGTCATAAGAAGAACTACATAAGTTTCAGCCATTTGGAGAAGGCGGTCATAAGAAGAACTACTGAGTTTCTGCCATTTGGAGAAGGCGGTCATAAGAAGAACTACATAAGTTTCTGCCATTTGGAGAAGGCGGTCATAAGAAGAACTACATAAGTTTCTGCCATTTGGAGAAGGCGGTCATAAGAAGAACTACATAAGTTTCTGCCATTTGGTGAAGGCGGTCATAAGAAGAACTACATAAGTTTCTGCCATTTGGTGAAGGCGGTCATAAAAAGAACTACATAAGTTTCTGCCATTTGGAGAAAGCGGTCATAAGAAGAACTACATAAGGTTCTGCCTTTTCAAGAAGGCGGTCATAAGAAGAACTACATAAGTTTCTGCCATTTGAAGAAGGCAGTCATAAGAAGAACTACATAAGTTTCAGCCATTTGGAGAAGGCGGTCATAAGAAGAACTACATAAGTTTAAGAAGAAGCCATTTGGAGAAGGCGGTCATAAGAAGAACTACATAAGTTTCTGCCATTTGGAGAAGGCGGTCATAAGAAGAACTACATAAGAAGAACTACATAAGTTTCTGCCATTTGGAGAAGGCGGTCATAAGAAGAACTACATAAGTTTCAGCCATTTGGAGAAGGTGGTCATAAGAAGAACTACATAAGTTTCTGCCATTTGGAGAAGGCGGTCATAAGAAGAACTACATAAGTTTCTGCCATTTGGAGAAGGCGGTCATAAGAAGAACTACATAAGTTTCTGCCATTTGGAGAAGGCGGTCATAAGAAGAACTACATAAGTTCCTGCCATTTGGAGAAGGCGGTCATAAGAAGAACTACATAAGTTTCAGCCATTTGGAGAAGGCGGTCATAAGAAGAACTACTAAGTTTCTGCCATTTGGAGAAGGCGGTCATAAGAAGAACTACATAAGTTTCTGCCATTTGGAGAAGGCGGTCATAAGAAGAACTACATAAGTTTCTGCCATTTGGAGAAGGCGGTCATAAGAAGAACTACATAAGTTTCTGCCATTTGGTGAAGGCGGTCATAAGAAGAACTACATAAGTTTCTGCCATTTGGTGAAGGCGGTCATAAGGTCATAAGAACTACATAAGTTTCTGCCATTTGGAGAAAGCGGTCATAAGAAGAACTACATAAGGTTCTGCCATTTTCAAGAAGGCGGTCATAAGAAGAACTACATAAGTTTCTGCCATTTGAAGAAGGCGGTCATAAGAAGAACTACATAAGTTTCAGCCATTTGGAGAAGGCGGTCATAAGAAGAACTACATAAGTTTCTGCCATTTGGAGAAGGCGGTCATAAGAAGAACTACATAAGTTTCTGCCATTTGGAGAAGGCGGTCATAAGAAGAACTACATAAGTTTCTGCCATTTGGAGAAGGCGGTCATAAGAAGAACTACATAAGTTTCTGCCATTTGGAGAAGGCGGTCATAAGAAGAACTACATAAGTTTCAGCCATTTGGAGAAGGCGGTCATAAGAAGAACTACATAAGTTTCTGCCATTTGGAGAAGGCGGTCATAAGAAGAACTACATAAGTTTCTGCCATTTGGAGAAGGCGGTCATAAGAAGAACTACATAAGTTTCTGCCATTTGGAGAAGGCGGTCATAAGAAGAACTACATAAGTTTCAGCCATTTGGAGAAGGCGGTCATAAGAAGAACTACATAAGTTTCTGCCATTTGGAGAAGGCGGTCATAAGAAGAACTACATAAGTTTCAGCCATTTGGAGAAGGCGGTCATAAGAAGAACTACATAAGTTTCTGCCATTTGGAGAAGGCGGTCATAAGAAGAACTACATAAGTTTCAGCCATTTGGAGAAGGTGGTCATCAAAAGAACTACATAAGTTTCTACCATTTGGAGAAGGCGGTCATAAGGAGAACTACATAAGTTTCTGCCATTTGGAGAAGGCGGTCATAAGAAGAACTACATAAGTTTCTGCCATTTGGAGAAGGCGGTCTTAAGAAGAACTACATAAGTTTCTGCCATTTGAAGAAGGTGGTCATAAGAAGAACTACATAAGTTTCAGCCATTTGGAGAAGGCGGTCATAAGAAGAACTACTGAGTTTCTGCCATTTGGAGAAGGCGGTCATAAGAAGAACTACATAAGTTTCTGCCATTTGGAGAAGGCGGTCATAAGAAGAACTACATAAGTTTCTGCCATTTGGAGAAGGCGGTCATAAGAAGAACTACATAAGTTTCTGCCATTTGGTGAAGGCGGTCATAAGAAGAACTACATAAGTTTCTGCCATTTGGTGAAGGCGGTCATAAAAAGAACTACATAAGTTTCTGCCATTTGGAGAAAGCGGTCATAAGAAGAACTACATAAGGTTCTGCCTTTTCAAGAAGGCGGTCATAAGAAGAACTACATAAGTTTCTGCCATTTGAAGAAGGCAGTCATAAGAAGAACTACATAAGTTTCAGCCATTTGGAGAAGGCGGTCATAAGAAGAACTACATAAGTTTCTGCCATTTGGAGAAGAAGGCGGTCATAAGAAGAACTACATAAGTTTCTGCCATTTGGAGAAGGCGGTCATAAGAAGAACTACATAAGTTTCTGCCATTTGGAGAAGGCGGTCATAAGAAGAACTACATAAGTTTCTGCCATTTGGAGAAGGCGGTCATAAGAAGAACTACATAAGTTTCTGCCATTTGGAGAAGGCGGTCATAAGAAGCGTTTCTGCCATTTAAGAAGAAGAACTACATAAGTTTCTGCCATTTGGAGAAGGCGGTCATAAGAAGAACTACATAAGTTTCTGCCATTTGGAGAAGGCGGTCATAAGAAGAACTACATAAGTTTCTGCCATTTGGAGAAGGCGGTCATAAGAAGAACTACATAAGTTTCTGCCATTTGGAGAAGGCGGTCATAAGTCATAAGAAGAACTACATAAGTTTCTGCCATTTGAGAAGGCGGTCATAAGAAGAACTACATAAGTTTCTGCCATTTTGGAGAAGGCGGTCATAAGAAGAACTACATAAGTTTCTGCCATTTGGAGAAGGCGGTCATAAGAAGAAGAACTACATGGAGAAAGTTTCACTACATAAGCCATTTGGAGAAGGCGGTCATAAGAAGAACTACATAAGTTTCTGCCATTTGGAGAAGGCGGTCATAAGAAGAACTACATAAGTTTCTGCCATTTGGAGAAGGCGGTCATAAGAAGAACTACATAAGTTTCATAAGAAGCCATTTCTGCCATTTGGAGAAGGCGGTCATAAGAAGAACTACATAAGTTTCTGCCATTTGGAGAAGGCGGTCATAAGAAGAACTACATAAGTTTCAGCCATTTGGAGAAGGCGGTCATAAGAAGAACTACATAAGCCATTTGGAGAAGGCGGTCATGAACTACATAAGTTTCTGCCATTTGGAGAAGGCGGTCATAAGAAGAACCACATAAGTTTCAGCAATTTGGAGAAGGTGGTCATCAAAAGAACTACATAAGTTTCTACCATTTGGAGAAGGCGGTCATAAGGAGAACTACATAAGTTTCTGCCATTTGGAGAAGGCGGTCATAAGAAGAACTACATAAGTTTCTGCCATTTGGAGAAGGCGGTCTTAAGAAGAACTACATAAGTTTCTGCCATTTGGAGAAGGCGGTCATAAGAAGAACTACATAAGTTTCAGCCATTTGGAGAAGGCGGTCATAAGAAGAACTACTGAGTTTCTGCCATTTGGAGAAGGCGGTCATAAGAAGAACTACATAAGTTTCTGCCATTTGGAGAAGGCGGTCATAAGAAGAACTACATAAGTTTCTGCCATTTGGAGAAGGCGGTCATAAGAAGAACTACATAAGTTTCTGCCATTTGGTGAAGGCGGTCATAAGAAGAACTACATAAGTTTCTGCCATTTGGTGAAGGCGGTCATAAAAAGAACTACATAAGTTTCTGCCATTTGGAGAAAGCGGTCATAAGAAGAACTACATAAGGTTCTGCCTTTTCAAGAAGGCGGTCATAAGAAGAACTACATAAGTTTCTGCCATTTGAAGAAGGCAGTCATAAGAAGAACTACATAAGTTTCAGCCATTTGGAGAAGGCGGTCATAAGAAGAACTACATAAGTTTCTGCCATTTGGAGAAGGCGGTCATAAGAAGAACTACATAAGTTTCTGACATTTGGAGAAGGCGGTCATAAGAAGAACTACATAAGTTTCT